GCCACTCCTCAGAAGGAAGGTTGGGCAATCTACTTCATTTGTTAATGCTAGGATGAGTACAAATTTCATGAGTTTTCATGAACTACTCACAACAGATAGGTATGAAATCCTATAGAGATTGTAAAAAGGGGGACATATATCTCTGACATCCTCCAGTTCCACAGCTCCCTCAAAGTCCTCAATCATACCTTTTGGCCTTTAATCTATCTTGGGAGTGACTTGTCATGAGATGGGAACCTACCACAGCTGCTGGTGCCTGAAAGAAGTTTCCAGTATGCTCACCAAGTACCAAGCATCATGGAGGCTGCAGGCCATAGGAGGATGATTCCAGGATAGCACTGGCTGACAGCTGCAAGCTTAGCCTTGGAAGGTCAGTGGAGCACCATTGATCCACCAGGAGGTCACTAGGGAACCATCTTCCTCATCTAGTCCTGGGTATGTTCTGGCCATTAGTTCATGAAACAGTGGGGACTGGAAAGCAGGAGCTGGGGTGAGCTGGCTGGCAAATTTGTGGACTCTGGGAATAATGTGGAGTGATGACAAGTCATCAGCCCAGGGACAGCCAATAGCAGAGCCTAGAAAGCAAGGCTTTAGAGAGGTATTGGCACAGGCACTAGGCAATCAGTAGACATTGCAGCCTTGGAGCAAAGTCCTAGAGATTCCTCCCTGTGGCAGCCATTAACCTTTTAATTATTGGATTGTGGCAAGATACACGGGGTTCCATGAGAGGAGCTGCTCGTGGCCAGGGTGGCAGCAGCATCAGGGAAGCAGCTCTTTACAAACCATTAAAAGAGTACTTTAATATTTTAGCAATCAGTAAGGCAGTACTGGGAGCTCTGGTGGCATAGTGCCTAAGGCATTTGACTGCTAACCAGAAAGCTGGCAGTTCAAACCCCCCAGCCACTCCTCGGAAGGAAGGTTGAGCAATCTATTTCCATAGAAATACTGCCTCGGAAACCCAAGGAGGGGTCTCTGGGAGTCGGATCCAACTCGATGGCAGTGAATTTGGTTTGGTTTTGGAAGGCAGTACTAGTGTTTCTGTAAATTAGTAATCTCTCTTTACCTTCCATGAGCTCTGAATTCATGTCCCACACCTGGGCAAAAGGTAGAAAATGGTTCCTAATAACAAAAACATTTAGAGCTAAGAAAGACCACAGAAACAATGAACCACGACTGCCATATTTTATAATTAATAAAACTAAGCTTAAAGGAGTTGGTCATTTTGCCCAAAGTCATGTATTTAATTAGTGGCACAGATGGGACTTGAACTCTAGATTCTTGACTTACAATTCTCCCAGTTCCTTCCTCTAGACCCTCAGCCACACTTTAAGATTATTCTTATTTTTCTGTTTATCTTGAAAACTGCTAAACACTTCTGTGCTGGTATGTTCCTGATACCTTGATAATCCATGCTGGGTGAGCCTATTTATTGCTCAGTCCCTCTGTATCCAGGTTCCTAATATGGGGAGGCTTTGGGGGAGCTGGTTTTCCAAAATATGGATAAACCTGGCTTCATGGAACCCATCACCCAATTGCTCTTACCTGCAGGGCTCACCCTTAGGATCATGCTTAGAACCACATAAACATCAAATCCCACATGTCCCGCCCACTCCCTGACCTCTTGATCCTACTTTCTGACTGTCAGATCCTCTGAGGGAGCTCTGGTAGCATAGTGCCTAAGGCACTTGACTGCTAACCAGAAGGCTGGAGGTTCAAACCC